AGGAGAAAGAGTGAGATTGAGTGTCGATGATGGTGACGACGATGACGACGACGGCGATGACGATGCTGAAGGAGGAGCTGGAGAGAGGGAGGAAATTACTTACATAGAAGGAAGGAGGGGAGAGAAAAAAGGAAAAGAAAGAGCCGGAAAAAGGGGCTACAGTGAATCTGCGAAACGGACACAGCCAGAGGACAAAGTGAGACAGTGCGCGCGAATCCGCCCACTGTCGGAGTAGGAGCCGCGCGAGGGAGTGCCGGCTCCTGCTGGCGAGTAATTGGATGAGGGTCGCCCCTCCCCTGCCCCCTTCCCTCCCCTGCCAACCCGCCCCCCTCCCTCCTCTGCCCCTTTCCCTCCCCTGCCCCCTTCCCTCCCTTGCCCCTTTCCCCTCCCTGCCAACCCGTCCCCCCCTCCCCTTCTTACCCCTGGCAGTTACTATCTTGCCTGACAGCTGTTTGTCCGAGTCAAAACGACGACCCTAAGTCTGAAATTTGAGAATACAAGTTTACAGGGAACAGTACCCCGTGCTCTGACGGGAAGAAATGCTGACTTCAGGATATACGAAAGAGATAGGTGTATATATATATATATATATATATATATATATATATATATATATATATATAGAGAGAGAGAGAGAGAGAGAGAGAGAGAGAGAGAGAGGGGAGAGAGGGGAGAGAGGGGGGAGAGGGGGAGAGGGGGAGAGGAAGTAGGGAAGACAGAAAGAAGAGGGAGGTTAAGAGAAACAAAGAAAAGGAAAGAGAGAGAAAAGAGAGAGAAACAAACAAACAGACGAAAAGACAGAAAAATACAAAGTATCTACAAAATGACTAAAGGGTCATTGTACAGATAAAAGGTCACGGCTGTCGGACAGTGACAGCTGTCTATCTGTCACGAGTGTCAGCCCCGATATGCCATCTTGACTTGTACTTTGCGTGTTTTTGAATATGGTGCTTTAAGGAAACTGGCTACACTCTGATAGGGTCTTGTGCTTGGTGCTTTACCTATCTCCAGATCTATATTGATTTTTATTATAAGAATGTATATACACATATCTGTATACATATAGGGTCTAAACACATTTATGTGTGTACACATACGTACACACACACATACATAGATAAATAGATAGATAGATACATACATACATACATACATACATACATACATACATACATACATACATACATACATACATACATACATACATACATACATACATATACCTATATCCATCTGTGTATCGATCTATCTATATCTACCTACCTATTTATCTTTCCAATTGCAATGTTGCACTAGCTTTAAGCTATGTTGCTAATATAAGCCGCCTTGTAACTCGAATTCTTTGTTTCGTTGATAAGTTAAACCGAAAAGAAAACCTGAAGGTGTTGGTACATTGCATTATTGCTAAGTTACTGCTTAATCAAATTGAATTGCAGGCTGGGCACTGTTGCCATGTTGACATGTTAATTGCAATAATATCCAATCAGTTGTCTTTGCAAGGCACGTTTATAATGCGAGTTATTTTGGGCCTTATGTTTGGTGTCATCCTACATACCTACCTACTTATATGCATATATGTATGTATGTATATATGTATGTATGTATGTATAAATATGTATATATATATATATATATTTATTTATTTATTTATTTATTTATTTATTTATTTATTTATTTATTTATATATATATATATATATATATATATATATATATATTTATATTTATATATTTATATTTATATATTCATACATCCATACATCCATACATACATACATACAAGGCGCCTTATATTAGCAACATAGCTTAAATCTAGTGCAACATTGCAATCTTTTACGCCAGTACAACAGCATCGCAGTTTTTGAAGATGAGGTCAGGCAGTTAGGCATTAAATATCAAGCTGTTAGTCACGCTAAGTCGCCCAGGACATCTTGCATCTTGACTTTTGCTTTTGCCTCGAGCGGATTTTCATATTTAGGCGGAGCAATTTATTGAGTTTGGGCATTTTAGGTTCATTTAGTTGGCTGTCGTATTCAGATTGAGAGGAGGCGCGCCGAGCGTCTGTCTGTGTGTGTTTTGTGCTTTTTTGTTTATTGATGAGCATTTATTAATAAATAAATAAATATTTTAGTTAATTCCATTAGTTGCAAAAGGTTATTCTTATGTCTGTTATGACGTTGTCTGTTTGCTTCTCAATTACCCCCTGTGTGCAAAGAATGCCCGGGGTTACCATCCACTGGCAGCGATTTGAACGCAGGTTAGCAAGATTGCTAGACGCGAACGCTATCACCTTGATTTTTTTTTATTGAAAGATAAGGAACATAAAAAAAGAAAAAAGAGCATGAGAAAGATCCAGAAAGGTATAATAATAAAGCCAGAGACAAACCAGGACCAGAAAGACAGCTATTCTATTCTATTCTACTCCAAACCTGTCTTTCCGCCAGCTAAAAGTTTCTTTCCCAACAGCTTTTCCAAGTTGCGTACGTACTCATCAAGATGGGCAATTCCCCGCGGCCTGGAGTGTGGGTTCTGGAGCGCTCGGTCGACAACGGAGAATCGTACACACCGTGGCAGTATTTCGCTGACAGTCCCGGGTGAGTTTGAATCGTAAAGGAATTTATGAGTATTTTGTTTTTTTTTTTTTTTTTTTTTTTTTTTTTTTTTTTTTTTGTCTCTTACTGTGATTGGTTGGTGTGTATTGTCTCTTTAGCTGTGATTGGTTGAGGTGTTTGTCGTGTTTGATTCCAGTCGATGATTGGCTTTGTACAGATGAATAGTTTTCGGTTTGTAGTGTCTGGATAGGATGGAATTAGATACATATGGAAGTGGCTTTAGTTTTATTCTTGGTAAATTTCAAGAAACCTGCAGATTTCCTTAATGAAGGACCAAAATTCTTACCAAATTCATATAATCATCTGTTTTTGTGTACCTCTATATTTGCCTGTTTGTCTGTGTTTGTTTACACATGTATACATTTCTCCATTATATACACATTTATTGTTTTAATAATGTCTACATACATCAGTTATCACCGGTTTTGCTAACGAAATGCCCCCCCCCCCTTGCACAGAGACTGCGAGAACTTCTTCGGAACCGAAACTCTTGAGCCCATCGAAGAGGACGATGACGTCACTTGCGTCACTCAATTCTCGAAGGTGGTGCCGCTCGAAGGAGGAGAAGTAAGTGATAAAGTTGAGAAATATCAAGGATGAGGGGGAAGTATAGGTTATTGATAATCGGTTTACTAAGAGGAGAGAGCCTAACTTTACATAGGCAAGTTAAAAGCTAAAAGAATATTTTTTTTCTGTTATATTCATAACTGACAGTGCTTTTGGAAGAAATGAAATCGCGTTTTTTATTTTTTTTAACGAAAGGGGATTTACGAAGTTCACGAATTGACACTAATTTTGTCTATATATTTATTTATTTTTGACGGCACTTAGCTGACCTGTTTGCAACTGTGTCTCGCTCCCAGATCGTCGTGTCCCTGCTGAACAACCGGCCGTCAGCGAACAGTTTCTTCAACTCGACTGTCCTTCAGGAGTTCACGCGAGCCACTAACGTCCGGCTGAGGCTCCTGCGCACCAAAACCCTCCTGGGCCATCTCATGTCGGTGGCCAGGCAGGACCCCTCCGTCACTAGAAGGGTAGGGGGTCGATTTTCTTTGTCTCTCTTTTTTCCGTTTTCTTTTCGTTTGATTTTTTCCCTTTTTGGCGTTTTAAGAGATGCGAGGAAAGGTATAGGTCACCAATGGAATAAATAGAGAAATTGAGGTATTTTCAGGTCTTTATCATTTTATAGAAATTGTATCTGATAATTTAGAATATATAAAGGGGCAGTGTTTAGATATACTTTGAAAAAAAAAATGCTTCACATTTTGACAATGTGTGTTCTACAGGACCACATATACCTGACGAAGATACACTTTTTATAGCAATTGTTCAGTTTCCATCCTCCCAGTGGCCATCATAACTTATTCGAAATGGAATCCCTCCTTCCAGTATTTCTACTCCATCAAAGACATCAGTATAGGAGGCAGGTGCGTGTGCAACGGCCACGCAGATGTGTGCGACATCACCGACCCCAACGACCTGTACAAGCTCCAGTGCCGATGCCAGCACAATACCTGCGGCTCCCAGTGCGAGATGTGCTGCCCGGGATTCATCCAGAAGAAGTGGCGGCCCGCGGGCTATCAGGACGGCTTCGTGTGCGAACGTGAGTGCGCTGCGCGGGCCGGCGGGCGGGGGCTGAGGGGATATCTTGGAGGATGTGTGTGTGTGTGTGTGTTTGTGTGTGTGTCTGTGTGTGTAATGATGTATATATATGTATGTATATATGTATATATTTGTATGTATATATGTATATATTTGTATGTATATATGTATATATTTGTATGTATATATGTATATATTTGTATGTATATATGCATAAATAAATGTATATATATCTGTATGCATATATGTGTGTGTATATACATATATGTACATATATACATATATATACATATATACATATACATATATGCATATATGCATATATGTACACATACACACACATGTATATATATATATATATATATATATATATATATATATATATATATATATATATATATATATATATATATATATATATATGTATATATATATGTATATATATATGTATATATATATGTATATATATATGTATATATATATGTATATATATATGTATATATATATGTATATATATATGTATATATATATGTATATATATATGTATATATATATGTATATATATATTTATATATATATGTATATATATATGTATATATATATGTATATATATATGTATATATATATGTATATATATATGTATATATATATGTATATATGTATGTATGTATATATGTATATATATGTAAATGAATATGTCTATATAAATGTATTCATGTGTATATATATGTATATGTGTATATATATATATGTATGTATAAGTATTATATATATATATATATATATATATATATATATATATATATATATATATATATATATATATATATATATATATATATGTACACTTTCTTTGTTCGTAGGAACGTATGTATGTATGCATTAGACATTTTAGAGAAAGAAATAGTATACTTTGTTTGTTACAGTAAGTGTATATAATAAAATATGTATGTTAATAGTTGGGAAAATAATACATGAATACCTACATCTTTTATTGAATATGAAAAGCGTTGTCGCATTTCTGTTTTCAGCCTGCAACTGCTACGGCCACACAAACGAGTGCGTTTTCGACGAAGAAGTGAACAGCAAAGGCCTTTCCATCGACATCTACGGCGTGTACGAGGGCGGCGGCGTGTGCCAGAACTGCCAGCACAACACGGAGGGCATCAACTGCGACAAGTGCAAGTCAGGCTTCTACCGGCCGTACGACAAGGAGCTGAACGACACGGACGTCTGCCAGCCCTGCCAGTGCAACGTGTTCTACTCAACCGGCAACTGCGCGGAGGGCTCGGGCCAGTGCGAGTGCCGACCCGAGTTCCTTCCTCCGTACTGCCAGGAGTGCAACGACGGCTACTACGACTACCCGGACTGCAAGCCGTGCGACTGCCATCGCAACGGCACAGTCGGGGGCGTGTGCGAGGTCGGCGGTGGGCAGTGCCCTTGCAAGGAGAACTACCAGGGCTTCAACTGCGACGAGTGCGCGCCGGGCTACTACAACTTCCCCGAGTGCCTCCCGTGCGACTGCAACGACGTCGGCTCGCTCAATGAAACCTGCGACATCGTCACCGGGCAGTGCAGCTGCGAGAACAACTTCGGCGGGCGCGCCTGCGAACGCTGCGAGCACGGATACTATGACTATCCTTCCTGCAATTGTAAGTGCATGCATGCCCTTCGGTTTGTCAATATGGCATCTAAAATGTGTGGTACCCAAAGTAATGTGATGTAGATGTAAGGAAAATAGACAAATATAATGCAATTTTATTATATGTATGCATATATATATATATATATATATATATATATATATATATATATATATATATATATATATATATATATATATATATATATATATATATATATATATATATATATATATATATATATATATATATATATATATATATATATATATATATATATATATATATATATATATATATATATATATATATATATATATATATATATATATATATATATATATATATATATATATATATATATATATATATATATATATATATATATATATATATATATATATATATATATATATATATATATATATATATATATATATATATATATATATATATATATATATATATATATATATATATATATATATATATATATATATATATATATATATATATATATATATATATATATATATATATATATATATATATATATATATATATATATATATATATATATATATATATATATATATATATATATATATATATATATATATATATATATATATATATATATATATATATATATATATATATATATATATATATATATATATATATATATATATATATATATATATATATATATATATATATATATATATATATATATATATATATATATATATATATATATATATATATATATATATATATATATATATATATATATATATATATATATATATATATATATATATATATATATATATATATATATATATATATATATATATATATATATATATATATATATATATATATATATATATATATATATATATATATATATATATATATATATATATATATATATATATATATATATATATATATATATATATATATATATATATATATATATATATATATATATATATATATATATATATATATATATATATATATATATATATATATATATATATATATATATATATATATATATATATATATATATATATATATATATATATATATATATATATATATATATATATATATATATATATATATATATATATATATATATATATATATATATATATATATATATATATATATATATATATATATATATATATATATATATATATATATATATATATATATATATATATATATATATATATATATATATATATATATATATATATATATATATATATATATATATATATATATATATATATATATATATATATATATATATATATATATATATATATATATATATATATATATATATATATATATATATATATATATATATATATATATATATATATATATATATATATATATATATATATATATATATATATATATATATATATATATATATATATATATATATATATATATATATATATATATATATATATATATATATATATATATATATATATATATATATATATATATATATATATATATATATATATATATATATATATATATATATATATATATATATATATATATATATATATATATATATATATATCTGTTTCGTTTGCAGTCTGCAACTGCGATGCGAGAGGAACCGAAGAAGAGATCTGCAACAAGGAGACAGGGGAATGCCTGTGTCTGGTCGGGTATAGCGGGAATCGGTGCGACGGCAGCGCCCCCGGCTTCTGGGGTTACCCTCTCATCCAGAGCTGCGGCTGCCACGAAAAGGGCTCGGCCTCCTCGATCTGCGACGCCTCCGGGGACTGCGCTTGCCTGGCAGGCTTTGCGGGGCGGGCGTGCGACCAGTGCAGCCCGGGCTACTACAATTTCCCCGAATGCATGTCGTGTAACTGCGACCAGGCGGGCAGCATTGGCATCTCCTGCGATCACGATGGCAAATGTCGCTGCAAGCCCAATTATGATGGCATCCACTGCGACATGTGCAGAGAAGGCTTCTACAATTTCCCCTTGTGTGAAGGTAAGTCGAGCTCACATGCTTGTGCACATAAACACACATACTCAAATACATTCCAACGCAGAGGCATAGGCATAGTGGGGCACAGGGTCACGCCACCCCTTCAATATATATACTTTGCCATCCTCAATCATTTACAGTTAATCATTGACTTCGGCTGGTAAAACACGGAGGTTAAGAATTCTGTCGTAAGATGTGCAAGAGAACAGCGTCACAAATCCTCCTTTGAAAGTAGTAAGGGCCTTTTACGCTCACTTAATCAATTTTCTATCATGAGTGCCCCCTTCTTGAAAATCTAGCCACACTCAACTACATAACACTATCTCAAGGTGTAAAGGCAAATGGTTAAAACCGTTTTGTAATTCTGCAATTTCAGAATGCAACTGCAACCCTGCTGGTGTTCTGGAAACCTTTGCTGGCTGCGGCAATGCTCCTGTTGGGGAACTGTGTGAGTGTAAAGAACGAGTCACAGGAAGGATCTGCAACATGTGCAAGCCTCTGTACTGGAACCTTCGCTATGACAATCCACTGGGCTGCGAAGACTGCGCCTGCCATACGCCAGGCACCATAGGCGGCGTGTCTTCTTGTGACTCCGAGACGGGCCAGTGCTTCTGCAAGCCCGGAGTCACATCGCGCAGGTGCAACGAATGCCGCGACGGAACCTTCAACCTCCTGGACAGCAACCTCTTTGGCTGCTCAGACTGTGGCTGCAATCAGGGCGGCTCCGTTGACAACTTCTGCGACAAGATCAGTGGCCAGTGCCGCTGCAAACCGAGGGTCACCGGGCAGAGGTGCGACGAGGTGCTGAAGCTGCATTACTTCCCGACACTCTACCAGCTGAAGTACGAGGCCGAGGACGGACACACGCCGCAGAACACCGCCGTCAGGTGCGGTGACATCAGGACTCTTCTTATGTGTTAATCTTTTATCTGTAAATGATAAGGGAGGGCATGCTCGTCCAAAGGTGTGCTCAGATCAATTGCCCGAAAGCGCGTTCGTTAGATGTTTTATAGCTTAGACTTTTAATCATAACATTAACGTCAATATTCGCGTTAACCTTACAGATGAAAGTTTAAAGTAGCAAAACTTTTAATACACTCTTTTTCGGGCGGTCGATCTGAGAGTACCTCTGGATGCGCAAGCCTGCAAAATGATGTGTGCATCACAGACAGTAGAATGTTATGAACTTTGTTTTCTGAGACCAGTTACATTTTTCAGGTTTGGCTACGACGAGGAAGTTTTCCCAGGTTACTCGTGGAGGGGCTACGCCGTTTTCTCCGACATCCAGAAGGAAATCATACATGAAGTGTACATCGAGAAGCCGTCTCTCTACCGCATGCTGATGTACTACCGTAACCCGAGTTCCAGGACGATCGTCGGCACGGTCAGGATCACGCCCGACAACCCAAGTGATACGGAACAGGTGCGACATATTTGTATAATTGTTATTGTTTATTTTTTAAACTCGTGATACGCTTTGTCTGATCATTTGAATAATTTTATGTTGTATATTTATTGTTTGCCAATATCCATTATATTCCCCATAAGCGTGAATTCGTTCGTCTATCTGCATTTGTTTAATTACCATTAATGTTATTATTATTATCATCATTACTTATTATTATTGATGTTGTTATAATATAATAGAGATTATAATTTTCTAATTTTCCAAACAGGAAGACACCGTTTACTTCCTGCCAACATCGGGCCCAGAGCTCATGACTGTCGTTCGCGTCCCGGGCGATTTCCCCGTTCATCTCGTCATGAACCCTGGGCGCTGGACGGTTTCTATTGTCAACAGTCAGAATCTTTTCTTGGTACGTCTTCTGTTTTTAGGTTTTAAGCTCGTGTGGAATTTTGATTTTGACATTTAACAATTCTAAATTAAAACTTATTTTCTGTTAATGAAGTTGGTATGAACAGTTAATGTAATCGATTTCGCATTTTTTTTCTGAATGCGGTAATTTTAATCGAGGAGGAACACGATTTTGGTCATTCTGCATATTTAAACAATTCAGTTCATAGGAGTTAATCCCTGAACGATAAATTTCAGGACTACTTCGTACTCCTTCCCGAGGCTTATTATGAAGGCAC